GGGGGGGGGAAGGGAAGGGGGGAGAGGGGGAGGAGGACAAGGGCGAAAGGAAGGACAGACGAGTAGGTGTACAAGGAGTCAGAGGAGAGGGCTTTCCTCCGCAAGTTTCGACATTCGGAGCACTTGGAGAGAAGGGCGAGACCCCCGGATCCTTGAGAACGAAGTCAACCGGCCGCAACTTGACACGGAAGGCGCAAAGTCAGAGGTCGCTCGATGCGTTTGAGAACCAGATGCGATGGCAGAAGTTCAAGAACAAATTGCAGAACGTCAGCAGCGTAGTGACCAAGTATCTTCTCACCCTCTTTGCTCTGCTCCTCCTTCTCTTCCGTATCTCTGTGACTCCGTAGTTTCCATCCTTTCCTCCTGGCTCTCTTATCTCTCCATCTTTCTCTTCATACTGCCTGCCCTCTTATTACTTTCGTAGTCGCTCCCTTGACATGGTTCTGCAGACACTGGCAAGGGGCGGAGGAGGAATCTGCGGCACCAGAAGAAGCGAAAGTTGCGGTCCGGTTCACCTCGCAGCCCAGCTCCAGTTCAACAGGTTGTCAACTCCAGCTTTGACGTATCGACGTCTCACCTGATGCCCAGACTCTGGTCCGGATGAGGCAGTCCCAATCCCTCCGCAGCCGCCGGCTCAAGAACCTCTGAACTCTCGAGCTCACGAGCAGAGATGTGATCAACTGTGACATGCTGAACTTGATGTGCCTGCTGACTCTGTCTTGCTCGTCGTCAGCTGGAGGGTTCTTCTTCAGAAGGAGGGTCACAGAATCCCCAGCAAGGTGATCGCCACGCTGAGCAGCCACTTGGTTGATGATGATGGCAGCGATTCTGTGAAGGAGAGGATGATAACGGAGGAGTTTCTGCAAGAGACAATCAACTTGGGTGATAGATCAGTTGAGTTCGTCGTTGAGATGTCTTGCTGATGATCTAGAGCAGCAACTCCTAAGCTTTTGAAGAATGCCAGAGAGAGAGTCAGGCCAGCAGGAGGTACTTCTCCTCTTGCCCTCCCTCCCCGCATCTTCCCTCCCCTCCCTTCTCAACCCTCTTCTCACCTTCTCTCACGTCTTCTCACCTCCTCTCACCTTTCTTTCCCTCTCGTCTCGTCTTTTGTTCACTGAGATACAGAGTATGTTCAACCGAAGATGAAGACCCCGGACCCTCCCAGCGAGGAAGTGAATCCTGAGCCAATCCAGGTTGAATGATGACGATGACGACGACGACGATGATGATGATGATAATGATGATAATGATGTATACAACTACGATGGAGATGTTTCATGGAGGTGGTGATCACGCTGGCAAAGGCGAAGATACGGGAAGACAAACATTGATGAAGATGACGAAAAACCGACAACTCACACTTGTATCACAGCAGGAAGTGACTTCAGCACCTCCACAAGTGGATAGGGCTCGTGCGAGCGAGGAGGAGAAGGAAAGAGAATCAAGCAGGCAGGCGGCCATGCTGCAGGGCTTCATGCAGCTCATGCAGGAGAGGGACGGGCAGCGGGATCAGATGATCTCGCAGATGCAGAATCAGGTCTGTTCATGAGGCGGAGGAAGGGGATGGGGAGGAGGAGGATGCAGAGAAATGAGGACAGGAAGAAGCGCTGAAGGGATTTGGCAATGGGGGTTGGAGGATGCAAAGAAGCATGGATAGGAGGGGGACTTCGTGGTACAGGAGGAGGAGGAGTTGGTGGTGGTGGTACAGGAGTTGATGATGATGATGATGATGATGATGATGATGATGATGATGATGATGATGATGATGATGATGATGATGATGATGATGATGATGATGATGATGATGATGATGATGATGATGATGATGATGATGATGATGATGATGATGATGATGATGATGATGATGATGATGATGATGATGATGATGATGATGATG